TCACATATTAATTTAATGTTTAATTCTTTTTTAAATTATCTTAAATTTTTTATCTTTTTATTTTTGTTATTCCTTTTTTTAAAAATAGATTCTTTTCTTACATAATATATCCTAATTATGGTTTTTCCCTCCCTCTACACCTCCCAGCTCCACTTGCCCTCCCATCTGGACCCATTCCCTTTCTGTCTCTCATTATAAAATCAACAGGCTTCTGTGAGATAATAATGAAGTATAATAATATATGATATGATATAACAAAAGCTAACGCATCAGAATTGCACAAAACCAACAAACAGAAGGAAAAATGCAAGAAAAGGCACAAGAAACAGACACCCACTTACTTTGCACACCTAGGAATCCCACAAAATTACTAAGCTGGAAACCAGAGTATAAATGCAAAGGACACTCCTCTTCAGCAGAGTTTCCTGAGCCCTGAGAGGAGTGATTTGATGGAGATATTCTGGTTAGGGCTGAGTGTTCCAAAGACTCTCACTCTGTACATGTTTGGCTGTGCGGCTCTTTGCTATTTGTTCTCAACTGCTGCAGGAAAAAGCCTCTCTGATGACGACTGAGCAAGGCACTCATCTATGGAGAAGGTCAATAAGAGTCATTTTATTGCTATTTTTTTTTGTTTTGTTTTTAGACCAGTAGTGTTTGGTTTTATCCTGGGACCCCGGTCATCAAAGGAGTGTCAAGTAAGGTTTCCGTCTCACGGAGTGGGCCTTCAGCCAAATCTGATATTAGTTGATCACTGCCACAAGCTTTTGCCGTCATGACCCTCACACATATTGCAGGCAGGACACCATTCTTAAGGTTGGCTTAATGTTTTGCTGTTCGCAGAGAGCAGAGCACCTTCCTGCACCAAGGATGTAAGAATATGAAGCTACACAGGGCTTCATGTAGACATGAGTTTGACTTCTCTCTGTTCATTGAGTTTTCTTCAGCAATGCAGCTTTGCCTTCAATTTATAGAGAGCAACCTATAGTCTTAGTGATGGCCTGGCTCATTTGGGGGTTCCCATGGGGTCCCTTTGGCCACTAACTCAATGAGATGTAACCCAGTCCTGGTGCTGGATGCTTCATCTGGTGACAAGAGATGGCCAGGTGGGGCTCTGCTTCCCCTATTATTTGGTGATTTCATTTAGATCATATATATATATATATATATGGAAGTTTCCACTGTCATAGGCTTTCATACTACCCCTCAAATGGCCCATAATGTTAGCTGCCTTTCCTGGTATCTCCTTCTTCATCTCCCTTTTCATTTGCCATCTCCACTTGATCCTCCTGCTCCAGCCCCCTCCATCCATAACTATCTATTATATTAAATTCCAACTTATTTTCCAGCTTGCCTTAGATGTGTGCAGCTGTGTCCAAATCTTGATGCTACTGTCCCCTGATTACACATATTCTTTTTACCATGTCACACTGATGCTCCTCCATGAAGATGTGGGTTCTATGTTTCCATCACTTGTATCTGTGCAGGGATATGTGATTTCTGCTAAGTCATACTAGGAGATGTATTTTTAGCTTGGGTCAGCAGGGACCCAGCTGTCAAGTTGTTGCAAAGCCAATATAAAAATGTCAGGCATGAAGGGAGGAGAGGTAAAGGAATGTAAATGGGATGGGCAAATATATGAACAGAGTGCATGACATGTATTTAGGAAAATGTCATAATGAAACCCATTATTTTATATGTTAACTAAATTTAATATAAAGCAATGTACAGATAAATATTGGAAAATTCTTCTAATTATATCATATGGGTGAGTAAGAGAATTATAAAATAAATATTCCAATTTTTAAAAAGGACATATTTGGGTTAAAGAGATGGACTCGTTAGGAATACTGGCTGTTCTTCTAGAAGTTCCTGGGTTTCATTCCTAGTACCCACACAGAAGCTTATAGCTGTCTGCATCTCCAATTCTAGGGGCTCTGACACCTTCTGGCCGCTGCAGACACAAGTCACAAACGTGATATGCGGACATACATGCAGGCATAAGAGTCACACACATTATGTAAAAAGACAGGTAACGGTAGGATGAAACTGAGCAGTCACTTGGAAAATCACAGCCTCAGGAGGTCACAGTTCATAGGCAGCAGCCGTCAGTGGACAAGCAAGTGCATCAGTCTCCAAGGGGTTGTAGCCATCGGCCGACAAGTCACCCGATCTGGTATCAGTGGCCCATGCACAAGAGTATTCTACCAAAATCCTGTACGTTTGCGAGCCAAGTATACACAAGTTGAACTCAGTGGGGGAGATGTTTTATTGCTGTTAGTGGTAAGAAATAACTGGTCCAGATTGTGTGTGTGTGTTTTAAGTCATAAATCAGAAAATCGTCATCATTACTACTCTTCATATTTTAGTTTATAGGCTCTTAAATTTCCTCTAAATTAACAGGTAAGAAACCCACACTCAGTGTTTCCTTCAAAATCCAGGAAGACACACCAAGCAGTATATCTCTTTCCTAGTGAGAATGCCTGGACAAAGAAACCATAGAATTTTACTTGAGAAGGTGTATACTAAAATATATCATTTAATGACTAGAGGCCTAGATATTTCATAGACATGAATGGTCTGATTATTTTAATTTTGAAGGGACAATTTATCTATTACCCATTTGCATGCATGTGGCACTTGCTGTATCCTTCTAGGAGTATGTCATAATCAGTGTAATGAAAGCTTGATGCCCCATGGAGGAGTGTACCATTAAGGCCACTGATACTGAGACACAATTGTCATCATCACCTTAAAAATACTGTTGGCATTGCATACTTAAAGAAAATTTTAATAGCTTCGTACCACATACCAGCATTTGTATTGGGTTACTCTGGCAAAACGAATCTTCTGGAATAATTCCCATTAAGTGCAGTCATTATCTAAATAAATTCATAATGCTGTCTTCTTCTTTCTCTTCCTCCTCTTCCTTCTCCTCTTTCTCTTCTAAACCCGTAAGTATTTTGTCCACAGGTAGAAGTAGTTTACTAGGAATTGCATAAGAAAATACAGAGTGATGACTTCAACAAAGGACATTTAGCATCCTCAGCTCTGGAGGCTGAAGTTCAAGGCTGAGACCGTTAGTAGGTTTAGATTTTCTCCATAGCTTGCAAGGTAGCTGGCCCTCCTATGGTTTTTCCTGTGCAAGTCTCCGATGTTTTCAAATTTCCACTTATTACAAAGTTGTCAGTGAGGTTGAAATATGGGCCTCTCAATGATCCTATTTTAACTTAGCCAATCTTTAAAGGTGTATCTCCAAATACAGTCACACTCTGACTGACTAGACACCGAGACTTCAATATCTGGAGTTTAGGGAATATAATTCAATTCATACTTTGTTTGTTCTTTGTTCAAATGGCTGAGTTAAAGGCAGTTGTGATGGTAACCACCAACTAAGGATCCTCCTATCTTTGACAATGGAAATTTATAGGAGCTTGCCCAAGGAAGTGGTATCTCCTTGCTTTTCTGCTTCAGAAGATTTTTTTTGCATGATCTATAAGATAGAGAACCAATATAGTGAGGCTTCTCAGGCCATCCATATTTCTGCCAAGGATACTTCTAGAGATGAGGCTTATAAATGAGTGAGTTCACCATCAAGGAAGTAGGTCTGGACTTCAGAATCCCTTGTTTCTTTTGGTCTGCTTCTTCCAGATGTCCTCTTTGCAGTCTTGCAGGATGAAGACACTTTGTGTCTACTTTTTGATATACAGAATAGACTTGTGTTTTCCTTTGAAAACTGTTCTGAAAAATATTTCTTTCAGTACATAAACTAAACTATTTTATGGTTATCAATATTGATATGTTTGGAGTTCTAAAATATATAATGATACTTGTTAGATTTTGTTTTGAGAAATCAGTGCATGTATTCATTTATTTTTTTTTCTGTGATTTCTTTTTTTTTTTTTTTTTATTAAGCTATATATTTTTCTCCACTTCCCTCCCTTCCTCTCCCCTCCCCTTCAACCCTCTCCCATGGTCCCCATGGTCCCATTTTACTCAAGAGATCTTGTTTTTTTTTTTTTTCTACTTCCCATGTAGATTAGATCCCTGTATGTCTCTCTTAGGGTCCTCATTGTTGTCTAGGTTCCCTGGGATTGTAAATTGTATGCTGTTTTTTCTTTGTTTTATGTCTAAAAGCCGCTTATGAATGAGTACATATTATATTTGTCTTCTGGGTCTGGGTCACCTCACTTAATATGATGTTTTCTAGATCCATCCATTTACTTGTAGATTTCAAGATATTATTTTTTTTCATTGTGTAAATGTACTATATCTTCTTTATCCATTCTTTGGTCAAATAGACCTATAACTGCTAAATAAATAGTCAGTCATCAAAACAGTCATCAAAAGTCTTTGTAAATACATTTTTTAAAATGAGTATAGTTATTAACTGAGTTTTTCCTTCTGGTTGAACTTTTTAATAAAATACTGTTTAAAATTGGATATACATTCTGTAATGTATGTATGAACATATTCAGTCCTAAATCATGTGTCTTTGAATATCTATTAATAAATCACCAGGAGCCTCATAAAAGCATTCTCTCTTTGGGGAGTCCTGGGCCCTTTCTAGTTGTCAATGGGGATAATCAGGCTCCTTTATGAAGAGGTGGCTGCAGATAGAGCAAAAGAGAACACATTCATAAGTGTCATGGGGGGTGGATTTTCTAGCACTTCCTAAGTTGTATCACCAATTAAGTTATTTTTAGAATAAACGGTTTGGTATCACTTGATCTACTTTAGGATGAACAGCCAATATTTACACTAAGTAGGTAATTATTTTATAATTGGTATAACACTGTTTTCTACCTTTCAAATAATTATGGTCAAGAGTTTATAAGTTAGATTTTAAAGTGTTCCTTCCAGAATGATGACAACATGGCACTGTTAAAATATGAAAGTCACAGGAATGAATGAAGTACAGTCAACAGGTCTGCTTCAATAGAAACAAGCACAGACACTTGGACCACGTGGTTGAGACTGAGATGGACCAGGCAGACATCAAGCTTGGTTGGTGGATCTTTATTAACAGTAATGTTTGCACATGGGAATTATTCACAGATTAAATAGGGAGATTCAAGCACACTCAGGGTTTCGACTAAACTGGTCCTATTTATTACTAATAGCGCTCATTCCAGGCAACCATGGCTGTCACCACAGGAGCCACCTCTCCTGCCTCCTCTTGGGTCCATATTGTGCCCCAGAGTCATTACTCCAGCCACATTTAAGACTAAATATGAATATCTGGATCCACATCTGCCCCCTGCAACTTTATTATATTCCTTAAGAAGAAACACAGTCGATTTTCTTCAGTAAATGGAGTTATTATTGCAGAAATGGAGATTCGATGATCAACTTTAGTTTAGAACTAGAAAAGAGGGAAAATGTCACCAAGAATGAACTTGGAAGAGAGTACTTCAAACAACAAGGGTGAGTGATTTTCAAAAGCAATGCATCCTATTTTGCACATATTTGAATATAAAAGTTGTCTTCCCTCAGGGTCAGGGAGACAGGGTTGATGCCATGGCCCCTTTGAAGTTCTGTCTCCTCACTGCTGGTGCCCAGGGCCAAAGGAATTCAAGGGTAGCTCCTTCCTGCTTTCCCTTTTAGACTTGGATCTCATTCTACCTTAGGCTTCTCTTTCTCTTCTTCCATACCTAGAAAGACAAAAAGCTTTATTTGAGCGTCACATGCTGAGCTATATGGGGGCTGCTCGTAGAATCTCTGGCTCCCATAGCTGACTTCTGTCCACCTCTCCCTCTCCTCCCCACTTCTCCTAGCTAAGAAGAAAAGTAATTTACAACCTTTTCCAGAAACGCCCTCAGTGACCTCTCTCCCCACACTTTCCTGACATCTCTGTGACACAGCCTGGTTCTCCTGCTTTTGGGAGTAGAACCCTGGGGCAGGATTACTCCTGACTCATTGGTTTGCATGATGGAAATTCCAGCAGGAAATTCCAGCTTCTTAACCAGCCCCCAGCAGCAGGAGCCACGCAGCTGATGCATTTAAACAGCTTCATTTATTTTTCACTTCAGCCCTGTCCATTCTCAAGACCTGGATTTTGGTTTTCTAATCACCTTAGAGCTGCTCTTTTTAAAATTTATTAATTTTAAAAAAAGCTCATGGAGCCCTAATTAGCCACAGAAGCTGTTTCTGCTTATTTATAACACACTCACACACACACACACACACACACACACACACACACACACACACACACAAACCCTGCCCCTTACCCCACGCTAGGGCATAAACCCAGAGCCGCAGGCATGCTAGAAATCACTGTAGCCATGACTGTATTTCTGGCCCCACGTTTATACGTGCTGAAACTCAAGTCCTGCCTGCAGGAGCCAACCCATCCAGATCAGCTTTTCCTGAAGGACATGTATCTACTGGATCAGGAAGGCTTTGTCTGCTGTCTGCAGTGAATGGTTGGTGATGGTTCGTTTTCCTGGAGATGAAATTGTCCATGCTACTTTTGCAAGTTATACTTAAATGCAGAAATTCTACCCGCTTCTTCCTTTTTTTCTTTTGTTTCTACATAAACATTTTTCTAATCCCCCCTCCCCCAAATTCTTAAATGCTTCTTGTGTGTTTGTTTCAATCGCAATAATGAACAAAGGAATTTGAAATACTGTCTATCTGGTCCTGTTAGTATTCTTTTATAAATGTGTAGACCTCTAAGGGAAGAGATTTTACTAATTATAGCCCGAGTGTTTGATAGTGTCTATTTTTATGGTGGATACGCAGCTAATCTTTGTTGTTAATAAATGCACTTAGGGGAAGTCTCTGAAAACAGGACTAGCAGAAAAAGCAATAAACAACATATAGTTTCCCACAGTGATCAGCCATAAAGCCCAACCTTTGAGGGTTGCATTATTCTAGAGATAATGAGGGAACCCCTTCCTTCACCACCTTCCACTCCTGGCTAGCTTCATGGAGTCCAGAATAGGCAACGCAATGTGAGTCAATGCTCTGAGCAGGTATCCTCTCTAATGGTCGATTTCCGCAGGCAAGGAACTGGCTGAGATATAAAATAGTTTCCAAAATACTTCCCACGGATCATGTGAGGGAAACATCACACCAAGGAGAGAGGAGCTGATTGAAAGGAAGCATCTACACTGTGTCTCCATTGTTGGGTATGTAACCAAGGCAAAGACAGTTAACAATGCAGGCTCCCTTCAGACAGCACTCTCCCGAGTCCCCACCTCTGTCCTGTGTTCTCTACACAAGAGTAAAGATGCTGGGAGTGGATGGGATGAAAAAAACATTTTTTTTTTTAAATCTCTTTGGTTTCTTCTCTCTAGAACATTTTGTTGATGGGTTGATGTGGCAGCAATGGTGGACTCTTCAAAAGAGGACAGAGGTGGAGGATCTGGGCTTCCCTGACTTGGAAGAGAAATGGCTCCTCATATATTGGTTTTGCAGCCATGGGGAAGAGGGCAAAAATAACACAGCTAATAATGAAAGAACTGAATGTATTTCCACAAAAACCAAACTAAACCAAACCAAGCCAAAAACCAGACAGACAGAAACCCATCAGAAAGTTGAGGCAGGCTATATCTGTGGAAGAGAGGGCCAAGACTGACCCCGAGGGAGGTATCCACACATATTCTCAAGCAGGGGGATGGCTTCCACTAGGGAGTAGCGCTCAGAAAGTGAGAGCCCACGGCTTCTGCTAGGGGCCAGGCAACCTGGATGGGCCTTATCGAGAATGGACATGGAGATCTGGGTCTAACTCCCTCCCCTGACCCCTCTTTCCTACTCTTTTTGCCCTTTTCCCTGTCTTTCACTCTTGAGCACTGTTGTTTCTGGGCTCAAATTTCAACTCTGGTGAGAGCAGATGCCTTAGTCAGGGTTGCTGGAGTTAGAGCAGTCTTAGCTGAAGAACAGTCATGCTTCAGGTGTCATGAGTTGAACAGCACAATCCTATGCCAAAGTCCTGACCCACAGTACTTCAAAACGTGAGAGAATGTTCAGGGTGAGGCCAGACAATTGTTCCTTAAAGAAATTAGGCATCTGACTCATGGATCCAAGCAATCGCCGCCGGAGAAACCAGAACGAGCCACAGTCATCCAGGAAAACCTTCCAAAGGACCCTCTTCTCTGATGGTGTGGGTGGGTCTCCTTGAGTTGCAGGAAGAGACCAGCATTGTTTTTGAGAGTTTTATAGCCAATGAAAGTACTATCCTGGATGAAGGGCTCAGCCACAGCATGAAATGGAGGACCAAGGACACAAGAGCACCTCCTCCCACCCCACCTCCCTCCACACATGCCATGATCCCAGTCCAGGATTTGGGGGAGGGCGGATCTTCTGTTCTCCAGGGGTTGGAAGATAGGGCCCAACCCCTCCTTGTGAGCCTCAGGGCTACAGCATCTAGCCAAAGAGGATTATTCTCAAGCCTTTAAATTAAAGGAAATTTCCTCTGCTTGCTTTCAGATTTGCTAACAAGCCATGAGCCTTTCTGCCTGTTTGTAAGGGGACTGTACATTCTCAGCCACCATGCTTTAGAAGGAGGTAACCTGTTGTCTAGTCTTAGAGGTTAGCATGAACCCAAAGAACAATTTTGCTTTGGGATGAATTATGATCATATCCTACCCACAGATGGTTTGTAGGTTTACATCATACTTCAAAAGAGATTTTCTTTCCTCCCTCCCTCCCTCCCTCCCTCCCTCCCTCCCTCCCCCCCCCCCCCCCCCCCCCCCCCCCCCCCCCCCCCCCCCCCCTTCCTTCCTTCCTTCCTTCCTTCCTTCCTTCCTTCCTTCCTCCCTTTTTTTATTTCTTTCTTTGTCATAATGGCTTTTTGGGGATACTGGGATGAGGGAGGAGAAGACATTTTACATGTGCCAAAGACATTTATTGCAGAGGGACTCTTACAGGATGAATTCTATAGAGTCCCAGATTTGTAATGTCGAATTCCTAATCCCCACTGTCTCAGAAATAACTTGAATTGGTTGAGGTCTTCACAAAGGTATTATGAAACCATTAGGGTGAATGTTGCCAAATATGATTGGTGTCATTCTAAAAGAGGTAAAAAGGAAGATCACATCACATGCATGGGGCGCATCTCTGAGCATAAAGATGAACAACTTCCAGCCCAGGCTAGGTCTGTGGTAGACTTTCCCTTAGGGATTTCATGAGGAACCAATCCCGACACCATCTTGCTTTTGAACTTGTGGCATCCATATGTCAGACAGTCTCTTCCTATTGTTTAAGATACCCAGCTTGTGGTATTTTATCAGTGTGAACACAAACAGTTCTCACAGAGCCACTTTATTTAAAAAAGAGCAAATACCTGACCATTAATTTATTTTAATGGCTTGTATTTCCTAGCAGTTGGGCCTGTTTTGTGTTTCTCAAACACTGAGACATCCTGATAGTTCATTAGAAGTCACAAGGGGCTGAAGCTTGGGTGGAGGACACTGGCTTTGCTGGTGACTATTTCAGAAGGTCACTCACAGGCCTCAGCTGCCTTTGTATGGTGGGGGATGGTTTCAAATAATCTCTAGGACCTCCCTACCTCCAGCTGTCATAGTCTGCAATTTTTTTTTTCATCTTGAAGTTGTAGAATAAACCCAGAAAATATGAGTCATTGAAAACCATTAAGGAATTCAGGAAGGCATTTTATACCTTGTATGCAGTATTCCTCACTCTGGAATTTTATAGTAACTGATTTGTAGCAAGAAATTTTATTTATTTTGTACTGTATGTGTAAATAGTAGTCAACATATACATGCATATATACAAGCATATGTTCAGGTGTGTGAGCATGCACACACACACACACACACACACACACGCATGCACGCCTACACTGCTTATAATCTGCAGTTTCAAACTCAGTTGTGAAACTGACTGACTTAAGTACCAGATGAGAATTAGGGGAAGTTAGACAGACGACTAAAAGAAGTGGCAACTGATACTCAGTTCAAATCCAATGTTGGCAGAAGGAACAGTGGGACCAGCGTCACCAGATCTTAAAGTACTTGGTAAGGAGAGGAAGTCCAACTATAATATGAAAATTTCCAATTTTTAAGTGTTGGTGCATGAAAAAAATCCCACTACGTAGACAGAATGATATTTTGGGTATGTAAATTTAGGATAAAGGACTAGAGAAATGGATCAGTCAGCAAAGTACTTGCCTTGCAAAAATGAGGGCTCCTGATTGATCCCCAGAACACGCATTAAAGAGGAAGGAGCATAGTTGCATGAAAATGCAATACCAGTGGCAGAGGCGGCATATGAACATCAGATAAACATATTAAAATGCACGCACGCACACACACACACACACACACACAAACACACACACACAGTTGTGGAAAGGCCAGCAGGGGGAAGATTCTGGTTTGTCACAAACATCAGCTCCTAGGGGCTCCACTAAATAATTGTAGACAAAATTAATCTCTAAACGGAAATAAGCTATAAATCGGTGACTGGTTTTTATGCCTGTCATGCAAGAAAACAGAGACCAGATAAGCCGCACAAACAGTTCAGAAAGCTCAGTGTCACCCTTCATCTTTAACTCCTTATTCAATGCTGCTGGTAAGCAACACTCTCTAGTCTAGATTGGGTAGTTACCTCTTCTGCCATTCAGGCATCTTCTCAAGGCAGTAGCAGAGTCATGGTCAAATGTCTGCCAGAATTGAGCACATCCAGGGGATAGAGGAAGCCAGAATTTTTTTTTCCTGAACTGCACATCTTAGTTTAAACCCAACTACAGGCATTCTCTGACGATGGCGAGGAAACAGTCTTGCATTTTATTTCAGGAACACTTTTAAGGCGCCAAATAAGTCTAAACTTAAAAGAGAAGGATTATTGCTTCTGTTGAATGGAGGAAACGTCATGAGAAGATTACTGTCTGGTTCTCCAAGCCATGGTCAGAATGGATTAAAAAGGGGGCCACCTAGCATTGGCTGACGCGCTGACACACACCGTCTCGGAAGAAGCACGCACAAAGCAATTGGATGCAACGACTATGCAAACACTACTTTATTAGACAAGAGGACTGAGCTCCTGCAAAGCAACTGCCTCCAACCAGGTGCTCAACATTGGCGGATCACAGTCCATTTACAGTTCATCTCTAGAATAGCGGACCGTGTCCAAGGAGATGTCCGGATCTCTCTGACCCCCCATACCAGCCTCTGGGTGTGTTTTCATGCAGGGTTCAGATCACTACGTGGCCAATCCTTGCCTTTCCACCTTCCAGCGGTTATGTATTCTTACATAGATTTTGGACAGGGTTGCCACAGCTTAGATAAGATTGTGTGTCTTGCCAAGAAGGAGGCTTTGCTATAAATAGAAACAGAAGAGAAATCAAGTCAAAGGTTAAGGGAGCTTTAGCAGCAATGAAATATAGCCTTTCATGACTGCATCTCTCTGCGACCTTCCATTCTGGCAAAGGGCGGCCACCTGGACCGTTTACAGTGCTGGCTTCACGACCATGAGATTCCTTTGAGACGACAGCATCCATGAGATGACATGAAGAATGAGATCTGGTGACTTTTAATGAGGCTCTTTCAATAACTTACTATTTAATTTAGGGCCCTTTCACTTTGGCAGAATTCTGTTAATCATAGCTGGCTTCACTTTTGTTTCCCTGTTAACACTGTATTTTTTTTCTATATAATTTTATGAGCGCGCTTCTTTTATCTTTCAGGTTTGGATGTTTTACTACCTAATAAGACCAAGTGAGAAATAAACCTTTCAGATAGCACTGCCAGCAGCTCTTAAATTAATACTGTAATAAAAAAAAATGAAGCTTCCGTGGAGAGCCTGGGTGGAGGGCTGAAGAGGAGGCTGCCGCAGACGCCTCCCTCTGCCAAGGCTCTCTTAGGCAGCGCTGTTCTTGTGCATGTGCCCTCAGCGATACTCACTTCTCTGTGTATCCCAGATGTAGCTGTTCAGGACTTCTCCCAGCAGGTACAGGAAATTCATTAGGATTGTTGTTGACCCAAAGAAGATGATCCTGGCTCCTGAGCCAATGTGTTCCAGGAAAGGGTACACCCACATGCCGGTGACATGATGTATCCAGCACACCCTGCATTGGGATCGGAGAGGAGACAAGGATGGAGTCAGGGCCATGGTAGATGTCAAAGCTGGTGTGTTACAAAGGGAAGCCCATCGCACCAACAAGGAGCTCCTGCATGGCCCACCCTCACCCTCTTAACATCTTGTAGAATTCTAGAACAGTTACTCCAAGACAAGGAGCTCTTGTACGGCCCAGCCTCAACCTGTTGACATCTTGTAGAATTCTAAGACAGTTACTCCAAGAAAGAAGTCACCATGGGCCCGTCAGTACCAAACACTGCTGCCTTCCTCTGCCACGTCCTTCCTCTGTCCTACAGACCATGTCAGGACCCCACACTGCACTGAGTGACACGTCTCCCTAGCCTCCTCCTTCCTGGCAGCGTCTTCTCGTCTTTAATGACACTTAAAAGGTTTTGGTCAGGTATTAGAAACTGCTGGGTGATTTAATACTGTTATACAATCCTTTTAATCTCTTCTTTATACAATGGAACAATGTAGCGTTAGGCAATCAGCCTGTAATAAAGCCGAGTGAGTGTATGCCAGGTATCTTGCCACAGCGCCTTTCAGTGAGACAGGGACAGGAACTGCGTGCTCTGGGGCCGCCACCCCATCACCCCGCAGATGCAGGCTTCCTGCTTCTCAGCTCTGCAGATCCTGCACTCACTTCCCTTCTGAACATCTGCGCATGCTTCCTCATAACCATCCTGTTTCTGGGGCGGACATGTCTGGCTCGGCAGGAACAGCAAAACACCAACTAGCATTGCTTCCCAGAATTTAGTTGCAATGCCAGCCTCGCTGCCTCCACCCTGGCATGGCTGCTGGTAGTGGTTTTCTGGATTATTTGGAGTTTGCTCTTTTACCACAGAGAACCAGTTTGGGAGAATGAATAAAATACAAATAACTATTACATTGGGAAGAAAGGTTACTTTCTACACTTCAGTGTCCAAGAATGTGGAGACACCCATACAAAGGCTTCAGTGGTGGTGGGAAGGCGTGGACCTTCACTACAGTTTGTATTATCTGTGTGGGTAAAGCCCCAGCGGCCATGGAGGTAAAACACTCTGGCGGTGCTGCTAAAAGAATTTCACTTTTTAAATGAATGAAATACAAACACACAAAGCCCAAATCATACATACATAAACACATTCACGTGCCTGTAAGCATGCACGGGACATTTATAGCCTCAAAATTTTGTGGTTTAGACTTCTGGTTTCATCTCCAGAATATTTAAAAGTTGAGGCTGAAGCACATCAATACACCAGCACTCAGAACAGCCATGGCCCAACCCATGTCCATTCAGAGGTGAATTTAAGCATAATCAATAAAAACTCAGAGAGAAAAACTGGGGTTCAACCTGAAGATCTGAAAAGCAAAACAGTCAGCCACTGGCTCTTACCTTGAACTCAGTCTGAAATGGCAATCATGCCTCCCAGAATCTCAGAATGAGACTATCCCTGAGAGCTATCTTCCCCCATTTTATATTCCTCTCTAGGGCTTGGATTAAAGGCACACACCACTGGGATTAAAGGCATGCTCCACCTGATTTCTATGGCAATTAGTGTGGCTACTGGGATTAAAGGTGTGTGTTACCATAACCTGGTCCATAAGGCTGAGCAGTGGGACTGTTTTACTCTCAGATCTTCAGGCAGTCTTTATTAAAATACAATTGAAATGCTACTACAATGAATGAATACGCAAAGGGCTGAATATAATACACAATGGAATGCTGATTTGTACAAGGAAGACTAAAACTTTAGTACACACCACAACATACTGAACCTTGAAAACATAATAAAGAAGTCAAATTACAGGACAGTTTCTGACGATTCCATCTTTATGAGACACCAAAGTAGGCAAACCGAGAGACAAAGCACAACAGAGACCACCACATATTACATCTCTGTCAAAAAGCTTCCCTCTCAGCCCATGGATTGAAGGCTCGGTTCCCAAAGCAGCAGTATCCTGTGCTGAGGCCTCTGGGAAGGGAACGAATCACGTGGACTCTGAGCTAATGAGAGGATGGACACACCCACTGATCAATTCTTAAATCAACTGGCTACTGGGAAGTTGAAGATGTTATAAGATGTGGAGTCTAGTTAGAGTAAGTAGGTTGATTGGGCAACCTTCTTCTTCTTCTTCTTCTTCTTCTTCTTCTTCTTCTTCTTCTTCTTCTTCTTCTTCTTCTTCTTCTTCTTCTCTCTCTCTCTCTCTCTCTCTCTCTCTCTCTCTCTTTCTCTCTCTAAGATTTTTTTTATGTATACAGTGTTCTGCCTGCAAGCTAGAAGAAAGCACCTGATCTCATTACCAACGGTTTTGAGCCACCATGTGGGTGCTGGAAATTGAACCCAGGATCACTGGCAAAGCAGCCATTGCTCTTAACTGCTGAGCCATCTCTCCAGCCCCCTGGGAAAGCTTTTGAAGGGTATACTTCATCCCCAGCCCCTTCCCTCTCTCTTCCTTCCAGTCCCTATAAGATGAGAATTTTCTAGTTCTGCTTGCTTCCTCATGAGAGCTGTCTGGCCAGGTGACCGTGGACTGGACCCTTTGGAACTGTGATGGACAACCGTTTCCTACTTTTAGACTGTTAATTTCACAGCAATGGAAAGCTGACCAATGCACCAGGGTCCGAGGGGACCAGAGGAGGAACAGGGCGTTTGTGTTGAAGATGATGACAAGTTTGAGGGCTAGACATAGTAACTACGACATGTAAGAGTACATCTAGAGATGGCTGTTTCCATGGCACTGACTTACTCAAGCCAAAATAGATCTATTAAAAAAAAGTTAGGAAAAACAATTTTTTTCCTTAAGATGAAGCCCTTGTGGAGACTAATAGAAATTAAATTGTTAGAGTGTGGAGTTTGATAGGACCTGTTCTGTTCGTTCATAAATCACTGGCAGTCGATTTCCCTTGTCTAGTTTTAACTAAGCTAGGGAGGTAGTGTGGCAGCTACTAAGTAGCATCCATGTAGAAAATATGAAACATACCCCAACTTAATGTCATCAAATAGTCAATTATTTTTACCCATCAGTTACAACATCGTGACCTGACTCCCTGTAAATGCTTCCTCCATGAGGCAAACTGGGGGCGCGATTCAACTATAAACATTAATTATACTCTGCATACCTGCTCCTGGCTCCCTGCTGGCTTTTGGAGGACTGGGCGTTTCATTTGCAGCTCATAAAGATCACTTCTGATGCCAGGCCTGAGCTCTGCTCCTCAGACTATGTAATGCACTTTTGATCTCCACGCAACCAAAATACAATGCCAAGAGATACAACCATAGCCATATAGTATGTGTCTTTAAGTGAGTCCTAAATCTTTATCTCCAGACTGGATCTTTCCTCAAACTTTAGAATTCCATAACAGGTTAACACATCCACATCACTTTGGACAAATGATAATTCCAACTCAAGGTTTCCATGCTTCGTCCCTGTACTCTGGATCCTGTGAAATTAGGCTACACATGGTGCTTTCACATAATATGCTATATACACATAATCTTATAAAGTCCCCTTTAAGGGATATTTATCCCCCTTTCACAAGTAAAAAAAATCTGAGGCCACAAAAAAACCCTAGGAAAGTCAGGAAAGAAATACGCAATTGATTTCCCTTCAAAATATTTCAATTATTCTTTGAGGAATTCACACGTGTATAGAATGTATTACAACCATATTCATAATCCACTAACTACCCTTTCTTATTACCCTCTAGCTCCTTTGAACCTCTTCTTCCCCTGGTTCTACCTTCATGTCCCTTCTTCCCTTGAAAGAATAATGAGAATTGCTTACATGAGTGTGGGTGCAGGAGATCTGTGCTGGAGCACGGGGAACTGACCAGCGGCTACACTACTGAAGAAAGAGCATTCTCCAGCCCCCAGGAGTCTTCAATTGCAAGTAGCTCCCCAATTAAGAGAGGGGCCCCAAGTGCCCCTCTCCCATCAATGCTTGATTACTTCTTTGTTATCTGGACTTATTTTCCTCAAGGCACATGATATTGTCTTAAATATTCATATTTCTCCCCACTTTCTGACTTTTTTTTTGACTTGTTAGGTCATCAAATTATCCAGGTATAGATGCAGAAGTCCTGTTATTTGGGGTTACACCTGGATTAGTGTGAATGATATACCCACTTGTCCTAACAGGCTGTGATTTCATCATTTGTTTCCTTGATATTATCACAGTTAAAGTCTCTGTGCAAAGATGACTCACGGCCTTGCTCGTCTATGAGTGGAGAGGTCTTCGTTCTTGGGTTGTTTTCAATTGCTGTCTCACTTTTAAAGCTTTCTCATCTAAGTGCCCAAATACCTATGCTTAAAGCAATGGCACTTATGCTAAAAATTTTATCGTCAGAAATTAATAGCCATGGTATATGTATGCATGCATTCATGTGTATACACATATTTGTACACATATGCACATATTAACCAGTATTATAAAGCTTCTGTATTATCTGCTTTATTCAGTATACCTCTAATCAATTTATTTGAAATTTACAAGTTGTTAAAAAAATGACACTTATCCATGTCACCCATTTCAGCACTTTGCAGAGATACAGCAGTAAACGAGGCAGAGGTAATGCATGTCCTTGTGAGTCCAGCCTGGTGGGCAACCAAGCTATTTCAAGAGCATCTGCAGCGATGGGCACAATTACAGAGGTCAGGAGTTGGAGCGGAGGCTCAGCTGTTAAAGGAGAAGGCTCACAACAATTACAAAGGCAGGGATAGGAACGCCATGGGTGCATAGGGATTATTTCTTGCCTTTACAAGGATTGCTCATGTATAACTAGTCATCCTTGGATAGGCTCTTGTATACTCAGCTTTCTGTTAAGCCATTCTTTCATAGCTGAAATGTTCACATGATGTTCATCAATGTGCAATAAAAATGTTTTCAGTGATTTCACAACCATCACTCTTTGGCTCTCCTCTCCAAGGCAAACTCTTACGTGGTGAATATTCACGGCCTCATCCTTACTTTGTATTGTTCTTCTGCCAACACACCTTAATTATCCTT